AAGGCAGAGCTGACATCCTGGAGGACACGTAGCAGCAGGGGCCACTTATCTGTAGAGGGAAGGCATTTCACAGGACTTGGATGAAAGATGGAGTGTGAAAGCTGGCCCTTACGAGGGCTCCTTCCTTTTTCAGTTGAGATAGTGTGAGGGTGCTGTGTTTGCAACCCTCTAGCACAATCCCCTGAAAGAAGCCCTCCATACCCGACTCTAGAATGGCAGACAAGTTGTGCATGACATGAGCTGTGCATTGCCAAATCCAGGAGACAGCAGATCTCCCTCCGTTGTGTTATCGGGATGACCCGTCACAGTCTTGTGTATTGAACCCGTTTTCCATACTTTTCACAAGACAAGGCTGCTAAGCAGCTCGTTGAGTTTATTTCAAAAAAGAGAAGCAGCTATTTGCTTACAGAGCAGAGAGGGCCACTTATCAGTTTTCCTTCATCCGCATTTTAAAAACAAGCTAGAAACAAGCACGTCCTCTTCCTTGCAAGTTCCGTCTTCAAAAAGGAATCCTGATCTGTGGCTCCTTCTCTCCTGGAGTGAGGCACAAAGCCAGCTGGGTCACAGCTTGCTCCCAGCATTTCCCAGTGAGCTCATTAGCTCCAGGTGATGCCAGGCTGAATACAGTGACAGCAGGCAGCTCCCGTCTCAGGACACCACCCACAAGCTCTTTCCCACTTTCATCTCCCCTGTAAATGCACCAGGGCATTTCCATCCCTGTGGCATATTGCTTCTGCAGCGTCTGCTAGGATCCAAGATATATATGGCCATGCACACAAATTATCTGCTCCAAAATGAAGCCTGATGCTTCTGCACTGTGCCTTGTATTATCACCTGAGGCAAGCGAACATGTTTCCCTGCCAGGCTGGTACAACTCACAAGTGAAAATGAACATCCACAGTGCTGGGCAAGAGCACCAGACTTCATGGTACACAACAGAAAAAAATAAGCCATCTTGCTGGTACCCACACCTTTAGTTGGTTGCACGCACAGAAAACAAAAGGAATATGCGGCTAGGGTGGCTTGTTTTTCTCTCCAGGGAGTGCCAGCATGTATTTTTTAACCATCACTGTTGATATACCAGTGTCTTGTCAGATGTAGTTCCCACTCAACCACTCTATTCTTCTCGGGGAGGTGAGGAAAGGTGTGTTGACTCAGGCGCATACAATTTGAATTTCTGGGATTTTTCTCCCTTTTTTTTCTTTAGTGAAAGCAAAACAAAAAAACCACAGGCAGTTTTGTCAGCCCAGACAATGAAAGCTCTCCTTCAAAGACAATAAAGTCCGATGTTCCTCTGCCAGTAACATACTGTCATTGCTTTTACATTGCCCAAGTACTTCCTTGTCAACCATGAGTCCTGACAACCGCACTTACCCCCTCTGGGTTCTAGCCTTACCAGGTAACCCCCCCAAACCCTGCCCCTGGTTAAAGGCAAAGAGGAAGAAAGAGTTTCCAGCTGGAGTGTCAGATCAAGAACAATCTATTGCATGTTAATACATTTAAGACTAGACTCTTTTGTAAGACGGGTTTACTTACAGTGTGGAGAGAAAAAAACCTTTCACCTCTTAGTATCTTAACATCACAAATCAGCTTCTACTGCTTTGTCTAAATAAATTATAATATTTGATTATCACAAGTCTTATCAAAGATTGAGATTTCCTCCAGAAACTGTCTCTGGTTTTGGAATTCTAGGTCTTTAAAGCTATTTTTTAAATCTGGATCAGCTAGGTTTTCAAAATGGCAAGCAAGGACCGGTATGTGCTCCCAAGAGCCCACACTTAGAAATAAGGTATCTTGACAGTGTTTATCAACCAATACACTGTCATACTAAAATATACTTTTTGCCAATTAATCAGCACAGCTGCAGAAACAGGTGGAATACTGGATAATGCAAAGTTTAAACTTGAAGTCAAGACAATTCAGGGGTGATGTCTCCGTGAAATTAAGCTGGAGTTCCCATCACCTTCTAGTATTTCCCTTTCATTCCCTTTCCTTTCCCCTTCCTTTTCAGTACTTCAAAGACTGTAGCTCCTGTGAGTGCTATAGATTAGTTTATACTGCAGGAAGGAGTTATGAAGTTCCAGGTAAGGAAGGGTATTTCTAAGCAATATTCAGAACAGAAGTAACACCACAATCAAGAGGAGAGATCTTTCCTACATCAAAACCTAAAATAATCCCGTCGTTCTCCTCCTCCCCAGACTTGCTGACCTTCCCCCACACCCTTCCCATATCATTATGGAGCATCTTTCCCACAACTTAGCCCTTCAGTGGCTGACTGGAAAGGGCAGTGTTGCCCTCTTCCCACTTTCCACATGGATAGAAAGCTGTTCGCACTCTGGAAACGGTTAGAGACTGCAGGAGCGATGAGGCTTTGTTACAGGCTAACTATTACTGCCCACTAACTTAAACTTGGCTCTTCTAAGTACCAGACTTGTTGTCACTTGCAATTTATATTAGATTTGGATCTATGCAGCCAAAAAGAGGAAAAAAAAAAAAAAGGACCTGGCCTATTTTAAGCTCTGTCATAATTCCTGTAAAACTCTGTTTAGATTGTAAATGAATCACATGTTGGATCTAGCTAAAACTGTTAGCATAATGTTTGAAATTTCATGCCCAGTGCAACACTATTGCCTGTAAGTAACTAAGGGCTCTGAAAGACCGCGGGGAGCCTGTTTGATGTTTTGTCTTCTTGCAGGAGCACTGCAGAGGAGAAGGTGGTTTGGGGACCCCAGGTGAACAGCAGACAGACTGTGCTTGCTTCCCAGGGCTGTGCTTGCTCCTCTGCAGCAAGGTACTGTCCATCCATTACACAGCCCAAGCCAAGGAGGGTGGCTGGTCCGGTCACCCCAACGGGGGAGGTGGGGGAAAATAACACTGTGAGAAATAACAAATGAGACAGCCTAGGAAAAAAGGCAGAAGCTATTCGAATCCCAACTAAAGACATACTAAGAAGGCAAATCGCTGTGGCAGGCAACCCCTTGAGCCAAGGGCCAGAGGTAGGACTGTTACAAACTAAGAGTGGAGATGGAGAGAGGTTTGCTATGGTTCTCCCAAACAACCCCTCTGGCTTTTCCTCTCCTTCCCTAACAGTGAAAATGAATGCTTAACAAGACACAACTGCTCACGGGCTTCATCGCATTCTTGCACTACTGCTCAGGGGCACTAGGACAAGGACCTGAATTTTTTTTTTACATATAGAATCATAGAATCATAGAATCATTAAGGTTGGAAAAGACCTCTAAGATCATCAAGTCCAACCGTTAACCCAACACCACCATGCCCACTAAACCATGTATATATATACGACATACAATTTGTAAACACTGACAGATCCAATCCATCCCAACAGATGGGCGTGCAGAGCTGGAGGAACCGTTCCGCAGCGGCCCTCTCACCAACATGGGGCCAGAGCCTCGGGCTTACCGAAACAAGCAGGGGAGCAGCTCCCCTCCCAGCTCTGCCTGCGCTGGTGCAAGGCTGGCACAAGTCCCCAGGGCCATGGAGCAACGACATTTACACTGGTGTCACCGAGGCAGGAACGGGCCAATGACTTCACAGGATTTATTCAAAACAGGAGAAGAAAAAGCTTTCTTTACAGACATCGTGAAACACATCAGTAGGGAAGAGGACAGGGAAGGCGTTCTCACTGACATACAGAGATTGCAGAGCTACTGCTTCCCCTCTAGCAGGGAAAAGCTGCCCTCCTCAATTCTGCCTGTGTTTCAGCATGAGAAGCAGAGCACACCCTCGCTCCTCACCGCTCATGAAGCACAGGGGTAACGCAACTGCTCCCCACCTATTCAGAAAGCGCACAGCAACTGAGAGATCACCTCGGTTAGCTTGCAGAGAACTGGAACTCATCTGGCCAGCAGCTACGTGGCATTTCTGTTAACAGAGACAAGCCAGCAATCATTGACAGCAATCAAGCCAGTGATTTGCCGATAATTGCAAAAGTAGACCAGCAGAGAGCTGGAAAGAGGTACCGACTTCCAGTGAGTTCTCCCATTTGCGCTTTGGAGCATCTTCCCCAAAATGTTTTTGAAATAAGGCTTCTTCTGTACCAAGCACAGCAGTGTACTGGAGAAGTAAATGTTCACTGAAATTTATTTTAAGCGATTAAAAAAAAAAGTAAAAAGATTAAAAAGTCTCGCAAGAATCACTGAATTGTGAATTGCCTCCCTCTTCCTTTGCCAAAAATGCCACCGCAATGATTTCAGAATTCTTACAATTTGAAAGGAATTTGCCATGGTTATTTTACAAACTATTTATAAAATCAAATATTTTGGACTAAGACTAGCTTATCAGTACACAGCTTTGACAGTGTTTCCATAAATCAGCCCTGCTCCAAAGAGCTTCTAGGACTACGGGAACAAGTTTTAAATTATTTTTCCTATTTCTCAATGGACCAGGTTTTTGGTTGTCATAACCCCTTTGAAGCAAACCGAACTATATTCAGCATTTGATCCTGACTTGTGTAAACTCTGCTTAGAAAGCCTCTCCTGCGTCTCCCATACACCATCATCGGTTGAGATGAAGACAGAGATATCCACCTGCTGCATGAGCCTGGCTCCACTGGGAGTATATTTATTGCAGTGGCTCATGCAGATACCGCGTGGACGTACCGCAATGTATTAACACCACCTTACAGTTGGGAGAAGTTAGGCAACGAAGTCCTAAGAGCAAGTATTGCAACATGGAAGAGCTGTCAAAACACACCAGTGCTTAGACCTAACAAATTTGACAACCCTGATTTAAAAAGTGCTTTGACAGTCAAGAAAAATTCCTAAACACACTAAAAACTCATCTGCTAGCAATGCACGTTTCGGAAGCCAGGCAAAATAACTTTCCCGTGAGTATAGATGTCCTCATCTGTGCCCTGGTTTATATGCTTCACCAAGTTTTTCTCAAACAGGAGGGGGTGGTAAGCTCCCATTGTACAGGCACGGTCGTGAAACTTCTGGTAATAGTGGCAAATGTCCGTCTGCCGTTTGGAAGGGAGAAATTCGTACACGTGCACTTCATCACAGAGCGTCATCATGATCACGATGCCTAGGGAGGGAAAGAAAGCAGACATCCCCATGTCAAACCAGAGAACAGATCAAACATTCCAGCGAGACAGGTGGTCAGCAAGGAGCATCCAGCTCCAAGGAGAAGGGTTTCCTTTCTGAACGTTCAGACAAGGGGGGGAGAAAACAAGTCTGGCCAGGTGGGGCTGTTTCCTGAAGCCCTCTCTTGCAAAGCCTATGATTGACTTGATTACACCAGATTGTTTACAGCGACAGCCACACCAAAAGGCCAATTTTTAAGAGCACTACCATTCTCCGTGACCTTCATGGAAACTTGGGCGTCTGCCAACCCTAGGCTGATCCAAACAGCCCATCTCAAACCTGCTTGGGTAAGCAGAGATGAGACCTTCACCCTTTCCCCACCTGCCTCCTGTGAACGCAGGGGATATAAAAGCGACTGTGCTTGGAGATGGCTCACCGAGACTGAGCAACCCCTGCTCCTCAGGCTTCCCCAGCTCCCCTGCAGCAGAGCAGTGCTGCCCTCCTGTGTCTTCTGACAGGCACATGAACCACTTGAGGACATTCATGCCAGTGTTGGCACAGACCTGTCAACTTTCTGGCCAGATCAGAAGTAAGCCAGAGTTAGCAGCTACTTTTCTTCCAAGTGCAAGAAATAGCAAGACTATACTAGGGAAATAGGACCAATGTATCATATCACAGAAAATTCATGCAGTATCTGAGACATCAGGGACCATGCATGATCAGAGGAACACAGTTTACAAGACATTAGAAGAACCTATCTGTGAAACCACTTGTTTAACTAAGGTGCAAAGCAGGTAACTTGGCCCAAAGTTAAGCCACAGAGGAATTTGCTGTCTGACGTGGCCCGGTGCCTGCCTTCAAGCCCCTAACTCCAGTTAACAACAATTTTGCTGCTGAAGTCATTGACTATGCTGTTACGCAGTTGTTCTGCACATATCCCAGCAATGATGTAATAGGTGCTGGGCAAGAGCAGGGTTGTGGAAGAAAACTAGACATTTGACTGGCAAAAATAAGAAGTGACTCTGTTTACACAGAGGTAGAAGGATGCCTGTGCCCCAGCAGCGATGGGAGCAGAGACGGGAGCAGAGGAGGAGCTGAAGCACAGCAGCTGAACATTCACGTGGCAAACAAGACCATACATCTATGCTGTGATTTCAAATACACGTGAACTTCCTGAGAAGTTCACTCCTTTTTATTCAGCTGGTCATGAGATGTGCTCTCCGATAAGAAGGAAAAGCTTTGCAACAGCAGAATGTAAAATGCTCCGCTTCGCTGAGAGGCTGGATTCAGCATGCTGACAAACAAGACCTTAGCATGCCGAGTAAGGGGGAGTATCGCTGAACTTTTCAGGGCAACCATTCAGTCTGACCATCCCCAGCCCCCCCAGTAAGTCTTTAGCTATATATATTTTTCCATATTTATATATGGAAAGCATAAATGGTCAAGCACTTAGATTTCATCTGCAGTAACCAGATTTATTTGCCTGACAAGATGTGAGCCCGCAGGAGCCGTATCCTTCTTCTTGCACCCTGTGGGAATTCTCTGGTGCTAGAAACTAGAAATCCTAGAGACCATCTCGATGTTGCAATCTCCTCTCCTGTTTCCACATGGAACCAGGCCATGTTTGTAACTGCAGTTTCAGAGGGGTGCTGCAAACTGCTTACTTTAACACAACTGAGCTGCTACTTTAAAGACAGGAAGCTTAAATTTTGGCAAAGACAAACACTGTAAAAGCAACTCTGATAAGCACCATAAATCTGTAGTTGTCTTTGAAAAAAGGCATCCTGGAGAGTTCCTGCCTGCAAACTGAACGAGAAGTGTAGAGGGCAATTATCTTACCAAGCATTCCTGACGACGGTGGATTAGGCTGAATATGCTCCATGGAATTCTCCTGCAGAATATCCCAGAGTTGCCACTGCATTTTTGGATTCAGGATATAGAAGGGCTGCTCTGGATGTGTACTACGATAAGACTTATAGCTTTCAAAAAAGTTGTAGTCTGGTTTTCTGTACCACTGCAAAACAGAAACAAGAAGTCAGACTTTTTATTTCTAGCCCACTCTTCCGCATAACCAACAGGAAATGAGGATGAGTGAACCTGCTGCTGCCAGGGGAAAAGGTCCTGCTGTACCCACACACACTCTCCCTCTGTCCCCCACCACCTCCCCTGCCCCTCGAGTCACGGTGGTGACTTGACTTAGCGAACGGAGCAGGGAAACCCCAAATCTCAGTGAAGGACCGTTAAATGAGATCAGCATCTTGTATAATTTCATTCTGCACTCCCCAACAGCAGATGACGTTGAGAACTCTGCCTTAAATGTACAGACCCCGACCCCTCTCCATGCTGGAGTACAAAGCATCCTATTCTGCAGGCAAGCGTCCCCAGCACAGCCTCCTAAACCAGGCTGAGCTGATTTGCATCCTAAAACTTCCCCTTTCTATAAAAACACTTAGGAAGGGTTTATGTTTTCTTAAAGTAATTTTGAGATTTTTCCCTATGCTAAAAATATCCCATCCTGGTTTTACTGACTCTTAAAACATGCTGTACATACACCCTCGTGTCTCCTGGCAGTGTGGGACTAGGCACAAGAATAAACATAAGAAATGCAGTCCAGAGAAAGGAACGCAAAGACCTCTCAGTTACAGACAGAGCTTAATATAAAAGTAAAGAATGGACTATTCACTCCTACCTGCTTCCACCCTGTGCCTCCAAAGCTCATCACTTATCAAATAACGCCCTTTTGTACGCAAAATGAAAAGTGAATGCTAGAGGGATTGCAACACCCACAAGTGAAAGCCTAGCTGACACAGAGAGGAGACATTTGCTAAGATCTTCAGAGGGTTTCCCAATCCGTTCATAATGCATCAAGTATACCTCATGTCTGACCGGTGCTTGAAATATCCAAGCATCAACCATCAGCAAATCTTACAGCAACTGTCAGAAAGAGTAGATTATCCTCTGACGAGATGACAACCGCTGCAGCCAGCAGCGACCTCCTCCCTGCGGCATCAGCCCATGGGAAAGTAAAGGTGATGACCCGTTACACTTGGCCTGAGGCCCTTCACAGGGATCTGGAACAGGTAAGTGTTTCCCTAGGAGCACCCATGCATGGGATACTCTCAGAAGCACATACGGATATATCCGTGATAACAAAGAGGTAAACAAGAATGGCCTTAGAAGGCCACATTAGGAGGAAGTGGGTTAACAGATGCACTTCAAAGCATATGAATCTGATTTTATTTACAGAAAACTCAGCCTTACCTCATGAATTTCTGCATGATACGGTGCTGGATCCCAGACAATTAAGATTCCAGTGTTATATAGTGCTTCCCTCAGGAACTGCTGCTCGTCAACAGTTACAAGCTTGAATAACAACAACAAATACAATAAAATACAGTATGCTGTCAGAATTAGCAGGCAGCTGAGCAGCAGAACATACCTGAATAGAGCCACAGCCACCCCACTGCCAGTTACTGAGCACATCCCACTGCATGCAGGCAAGGACACAACCCCCAGTGATGCCCTTCCAATGCCCACTCCAGTCCTACCTAGCAGCGCAGGATTTAGGGGAGAGTCACACGAAAAACTGCCATTATGCTTTACAGGGTTTTCTCTACCCATCTTCAATAATAAAATAAGGACAGGACCCGCAGAGTGACCCAGCTTGTATGATGGATACCATCGCTACAACTACCAGAAGCAGGTGGGAACATCCGTTGCTGCCAGTAGTCACCAGGACGGTCCAGGAAGAACCTCATGCAAACACACTGTTGGCTTTATCAAGAAACTTCATTTGAACCAAAAAAAGTCTGCACGTGGGTGGTCTCTCCTGAGCAGCACGAACTCAGGCAGCCAGGGCTCAGCGCTGGGCCAACTTGCTGCAAGAGCATCGGTGCAAAAGACAAGAGACCACGGCACCCCAACCGACCCTCGCGTGAGCCCCACCTTGCCTCTCCAGAGCAGGGTGATGCAACTCGGGCAAGGGAGGTTTGAATCTTGTAAGAGCAGCGATGAGAAGGAATGCGCCACAACAGCAAAGCACACGGGCTAGATAGTATCAGTGGAAAGAGACTGCTCCACCAGAGGCTTTCCCAAACGAACAACACCAGGCGGTTCAAACAGAGAAGTTGCCCTCTACAGCCTGGACACAACCGTCACAGCTCGTGACGCCTGAGGGCAAGCCAGGTCTGCAGCAAAAAGCAAACAGTCAGAATCAAACGAGACAGGGACTGATCTCCTGTCCTCCCCACCCAAAGGCATAACCCATACAGGCATAGCTCGTAAACATCTGCTGAAGAAAAGCATCATCATAAAAATCAGCTCCCATTTGCCCTGATTTTCTCCACGGATCTAAGTAAGAGCTAGCCGACGTATCCTTGAGTATCCCGGCTGCCCCAGCAGCAGGCTGCCTTCCCAGCTGTCCCCATAACCAGAGCACAAGGACGCTCTGGCCAGCCTAGATGCAAATTATTCCAAAACTGAAAAGGGTTTCCTTGCATCTGTTCTTAACTCTGCGGGATTAGGCTTTGGCCTTGACCACGTGTACTGCCTGGTTTCATTTCCTTACAGTAGCTAAAATACCTCGGCCACTCGTTGGCTGGAGCATGCTGGGTGAACTTCTGCGGCCGCGGGTCCACGGACACCAGAGGCAGAGGCAAGGAGAGGGCACGGCAGCTGGCACCAGCCGTCCCCTTAGCCAGGTACGAGCGGGATGGAGCACCGCAACGGGACAGGGATAGGGCAAGGAACACGGGCGCTTTATTTTCATTTCACTGTTTCTATTTAAAGGCTAGGTATCTTTCAGGAACTCTTCTGTTGTGAAACATGTGAAAGGAGGATTCGAGAGAGACTGAGCATCAGCGAAAGCAAAGGTCAGGCAAGCAAAGCCATGCGAGAGGCAAGCAAACCCCTAGAGAGCTGTGACAGGCACAAAAGCAAAGGGATGAGAAACGGGGGGGAGCGCCTCCACAGCCACAAGGTGTTTGCTGTTTCCTTCCCCACAGCACAGAGCTGGTCCTTGGCACTACCAGTTATCTGTCTGTCACTTAATCTGTTTGCTGGAGGAATCTGGCTCCCCAGGCACCTTTAGAGCCTATTGGTTCTGTTTAATAGCGACTGATTCTTTCCAAGTAGTTAAATTCATTTAAATTGCTACATGACTTATGTGTCTTGCCCAGCTTTTTGATCCGAATTAGTTAACTGATGTATTGATTTCCTAGTTCATTTGTTCTTTAGCCAACTCACTGTTTAGCAAGTATCTTGCTAATAGAGCTCCTACCCTCCTGGTAGGTTTATCAACCGTATCAAAATGAGTTTCTTCTCTCCGGCTACCGCAGTCAATGCCCTGTAATCTAAACATGCTCCCCTTTCCCATTACAATCTTACTCCATTCCAGTGGTGAGCTATCTCATTTCTCTTCCTCCCTGCAGGCTCGTTAGTGCCAGTAACAACAAACGCAGCCAAAGCGGAGAGTGCTCTCCATGACAGCGAGAAGCCAGCCAAGGAGAACTGTAAACAAGGGCTGGGAGGAATGAGGTACTCTGGTCCTTGGTCAGCTCTGCAAAAAGGAGTTGTGTCCTACAGAATGACATTGGCACTCCCCCCGCACACTCTTCAGCCCTTATTTTTGCAAGATGCGAGCGCTTTCCCAGGGCAAATCGATGTCTTGCATAAGACTGCAGGAAAACATGCCATTAAAGGAAGTGGTACTGATGAACCAGTGAAGGTCTAAGAAAATAAGCAAGGCAATGTTAAAGAATATCTTTCTTTAGAACAGCTACCAAGCTTGTCAACCTACAAGCCTATCCTCAGATCTGAGGATCCCAAATTTCTCCCCCCCTGCCAGTATCAATCTATTAATCTTTCCCAGCACACAGATGTACAAGATATCCCACTCTACTGTTAAAACCATCCACCCCTAGATATGTGTTAGAGACTGGACAGCAAATTACAGAAAAGTATCTTCAACTAGTTATCAAGCAACTTAGGGCCACTGGCCACACATGCCAAAGGGATACTACTCAGTACAGACTAGTTCTGACAGATTAGATTCAGGAGATCCCATTTCCTTCATTTTGGGAATAGATGGAAGATTCAAACTGTTAAAACCATCCACCCCTAGATATGTGTTAGAGACTGGACAGCAAATTACAGAAAAGTATCTTCAACTAGTTATCAAGCAACTTAGGGCCACTGGCCACACATGCCAAAGGGATACTACTCAGTACAGACTAGTTCTGACAGATTAGATTCAGGAGATCCCATTTCCTTCATTTTGGGAATAGATGGAAGATTCAACAGTAAGAGCCAAAATGAGAGCAGCCAAGCCACAATCCCATCCCGGCTCCCTGTGACCACTGACAACATAAGAAAAGCCAAACACAGAACAAGAACAAATTATAGCTTTTCCAGCAGTACCTGATGCCTGCAAGCAGCTGAAAACAAAATGCAATCAGGCAACCCACTAACAAGAAGGTTAAAACGATGTCGCCAAGGCTAGAACAGCACCGAACCATTAAATGTGCAAATAAAAACACAGAAGAAAACCAGGCTCCCAATCCAGTTATCCCTGAAGATAACAGGGACTGCAATGAGAGCTCTTTGGTTTAGACTCCTGCACTATTCACATGGAGAGCACCTTCTGCCCTGTTTAACAGCGAGATCAACGCTGCATTTTCACTTAACTTTCGCCTCAAAAACTGCAAAAATTTTGCTCTCCCTGTAATTGAAGTTTTCTATGGTGCCTCCATTCAGAGGGGGTGGTGGCAGATGAAAAGCGTCACCCACGGCTGCAGGCTGATCTGCATGGATAACAGAAGCACTGTAACAACATGGCTGTAACTACACTTAATCCAAAATAAAAGCATCCACACAGAGACTTATTACTGCTATATTACAGCTGTACAATCATACTGTTACTCTCCTCCCCGTGCAGATAACCCGGGGATCACACAGGTCACACACATGGTTTTGCTGGCAAACGGCTTCATATCACAGTAAGTTTGGCAATGAGCACATCCTCCAGATAAAGTTTTCTTAAGTGATAACACCTATCTGACATCATAAAAATACATACAGAAGGGAAAGATAAAAGAAAATTGAGAGGCCAAACAGGGCAGAGGAAGGAGGATGTCAGCAGCCAGATACGTCTGCTAAAACCAGACTGGGTCAGAAAGGACGAACTGCCCCACACGGGACGGTCTAACGCGGGGGAATCGAGCGGCAGCACAGCAGAGCCCCGCAGCAAGGGGGGAAGGCGAGACCTGAGAGCAGAAAGAGGTAGCAACAGCTTTCGCACAAGAAGCAAAAACACACTTCAAAAGACACAAAATGAACTAGGGAAACTGGTTACAAGCTAGCTCCACGCCTTGCCTTTCACGAGGACGGCCAAGCTCCTGCTGCTGCTTTGAGAAACTTCAAACCTTGTTACACGGCAGTGCCCTGGACCCCTCACCCAGGAGGGGATGAGAAAACTCCAGGCCTATAAATCTTAGCTTTGGGGTGAGGAAAGGAAACTGCCTTTCCGTTCTGGAGTACAAAAGCTACACTTCAGTCCCCCATCTCTGCCCCGCTCACCCCCTGCGGCCTCCTCCCCCTCTCCCGGGGCGAGGGGGTGCTCGCACTCCGCGCTGCAGCCCCGCACCAGGCCTTTCATCCCACGACTCCCGGCCTATGCGGTATTTTACTGTCCCACTCCGTTCCCTCACCGGCACACACTACTGTGATTTCCTCTTCTCTCTGCATGCGTACACTTGAAAATTTCTCCCCCCGACATGGGCAAACACGAAGGGTAACAGCTATGTGGAAGCAGGGCACAAACACCCTCTCAGATGTACCTAGAGCAGCAATGGTCTCCGCTGTGGGTCCCGCTCTGCTCCTGAACGGGTGGCATACTAACCCTGCTAAAGTCTTGCTAGACGTGGAGGGTCTAGACCACTGAGGGTCTGCTTCAAAGCCTGCTGAAGTCCAAAGAAAATTAGCAGAGGGACAGCCTCATACCTAGAAAGAGCTCTCAAAGAGTCAGGGAAAATTTAACTCGGTGAGCAATGCCTTGCATTAAAGGTACTTTCTGCCGTGCTCTGCAATGAGGTCCTGGACCCTGCGATTCACCCACCAGAGTCCATACCCTCTCCTGGCTGCGTGCAGGCTACAGCTTTAACGGTGGGTCCTTTGTCAATTGTCTTCAGTCATTTAACAGCCCTGGTTAATGTGTTATCTACAGAGTCTGCCGCATCGCTGGGCAGAAAATAAGTATTGTTCTTTTATTAAAAGCCAAATGAACTTCCTTCATTCTTCATACCCATCTCTGGGGCAGGCACAACGCGTCTCTCGGCACACCTCGGTTTGCTGAGCAGTGTTAGCTGCTCTGCAGTGCCGTTCCTGCCTCACGCTCCCAAAGCACAGCAGTGAGCATGCAGCTGGCCTGCCTGTACTAACAAAGAGGCTTTGAGCCAAGCCAAAAATCAAATTACCTTGTGCCTGCCGTAAATTGCAAGCAAGCTACTGCAGGTTCGCTAGCACATGCTAGTTTAACTGCAGTAATCTCAGATTTACCAACTGTCCCTTGTTACAAGGAAGGATGCTCCCATCCTACGGCTATCTGCTAGGGACAGGAGAAATCGGATGAAAAAGCCCTATTCTCCCCAATTTCATTTTAAAGACCTCCCAGCAGCAGATGAACCCAGAAGCCCCGCGGGTGTTGTTATTTCAGGCTGCTGCTCAGCTCCCAGGCAGCACAGGGGAGGTACGCAGCTCTGCCACGCTTGGCCCATTTGGCACACGTTTCTCAGACCTACCTGGGAGTTCACAAGACGAATTGTTGTCTTTTGCCCCACATCTTCTTGAAACCCCTTGATAGGAGCCCCATTGAATCGCAAGACGGCATCGTGGCTGTCTGAAAGCAAAACAGAGTGAAAACCCATGAGCTAACGACTGGTTTTTGAGTGATAGAAGAGATGTGTAATAGGTTATTCACCTGCATTTCTAATACAATCTGGCTAGTCCCTGACTTTCCACCTAACAGCTAGAAATACCAAGCCAGATTCTGTGGAAGAAGTTGTTCGTCTAACTTCATGATCAATACACTTTTAAAAATCCACTTTTTCAAACTACAATCCACTAGCAGGCTGAGAGAGCAGCCCTAGCATTTGCTCTGCACGGAGGAACATGGCATCTCTCTCCCTCTCCCTCTTTTTCCTTCCAAACACTTCACCAGGAGATAGACTGATATATAATTAATTTACAATGTGGCTGGCTGCAAACTAAGGGACTAGGAAATAATGGCGAGCCAGTGTCCTCTCTTGCAGCCTGGAGGTTGACCAGCCTAAGAAACACATATAACAGCCACAGTGGAAAATGAAGCTGGCTTCAGCCTGCCAGCATACCTCCCACATTACAGAAATAAAACCACCGCTGTGCATTTAACAGGCATGGCTTGTTACACGCCTTGGGATTCACTGCATTTTCCTCTGCTGGCATCATCTCTTAAGATAGCACAGCATTCCTCCCGCACCCTCCTCTGCCTCCGCACAGCAGGCCAAGCTGCCGTAATGCCAGGGAGCCAGGCTGCTGCTGCGGCACAGAGAGCGTACGTGCCCGGCACCCCGGCACCCCGGCTTCTCCATACCTACTGGCTAGATTTGGACAGGAAACCTTCTACGTGATCAGAGGTGTTCAGCCGCAGGAGCAGGACCAGCTCCCCCGCCTTCGCGCCGAGGCCACACGACCACAGCTCACACCAGCTGCAGCTGGGTCTGCGGGGAACTGCCGAGTCCCCAGCCAGGGCAGAAGGGCTCGCCTGGTCCGGAACCCGGCCTTTTCGAGATCATTTTCTTGAAAACAGCGGTGTTCTCATAAGCAATGTTGGAGGATCAGTAATCACTGGCAGTGAAGACTAGTTTCTCAGCTATTTTATTCTCATAGACAAGTGGATCTTGTTTAGAGCCCTTCCAAAGCAACACACAAAACCCAGAAAGGTGATGTTTCTGAAAAAAATGTGTCCATGCTGAGAAGCAGCTGTATAGTTACCACTACAGACCCTTAACTCCACATCTTACCTTCCATCAATGGAGTACAGGGTTATAATTTCTCCATATAACTTCAGCCAGACACCAAGCGTTATTACGCCCTAAATTTGCATTTTAAAAGGGCGTTTAATGACTGCACAAGCAGAGTAGCTGGCTCTCTGAAGCACTCTGTCTCCGGGTGGTTGTGCTGCACTCAGTATTTTCCATATCGGACTTTTCACTGGCAATTGATAACCTCCAATAACCCCAAGAGTCCAGTAAGAGAAGAGCTGCTTGTTGACAAGCTTCTCCCTGTTCTGCTCTGCCAGCCTCCCTTACATTGACTCATTTGATATCTTAACATAATTACACAGAACAAGTATTTCCTGGCCATTTAAGGAATAATAATTCAGGAATCTGTTGCGCTCATCTACGCAAATGCTTCATTTTAAGCCTGTCAGATATAGTACCTTTTTGGCACCTTCCTCCAACAAAACCACGGCTTTTGCTACGTGGAAATACATCAGGTGAAAACTGGAAAAAAACCGTACATAAATACACTGAATACTCCTGAATTCTTCAATATTCACCCTGCCCAGCTCAAGGCTGCAAGTGCCCAAAACTCTGCAGAATCACTAGCAGAGATGATTGCTTGAGCAGAAAGGTTACAGTCTGCGACCCAGGCGTGAGGAACACAAGCCAGGGACACCAGCAGGGGTTAATGGCATTTGCCTCGGGCACATTACACAGTGACCTTTCCAGCATCCATCCCTTGTGATCTGGAACAAACTGGTGCTTCAGTTTCGGGGACAGGCTCAGAGACCGGCTGTAGGAACAATGAAATGGCTTTCCACATCTGACGTCCTCTCAGCTGTGCCGCAGCCAGAACACAGCCCATGGAACTTCTTGGCTGCTCCGACACCAAATCCAGCGCTTGCATGGACTGCATTACAACACGCCGTAAACACCATCCTCAGCTCTTGAGAGGGTCTCCTCATGGAGGAGCGAGCAGTTTTATCAGTATGCTAGAGTCTAACAAAGACACCCTCGGGCACAAGCCAGCTATGTCAGAGGAGTGTTCAACAGAAGGTCACTTCTGTGGAAACCTTTAGCTACTGAACTTCAAGAGGCACTTAAATCAGCCAAGACAGGTACTCAAAGAAAAAAATCAGAATTGGCTTCCCAAGTCTTGACCTATCTGGCCTCAAACACTTGTAAGAGGCGGAAACAATTACATCAACCAACTCCCACCCATAATTTTTAGCAAGAGGCAATGCTATCCTGGTTAATACCACCACCACTACCTTTTTCATCGCATCTTTCATAGCATTTTAACACACTTCAGACTGTTCAACTTCATTCTAGCGCTTGCCCACCAGCTCTGTGGAGCACATAGGAGTTTGGGGGCAAACTTTTGAGCAACTACCAGAAGAAAACCCTGACCTTCCCACAAGCATCTGGGGACTACGCTTCTGAAGGCTTTGCCCAGGTCATTTGTGAATAAAGTATTAAAGGGCCATCTGCTTGTTTCAGAGGATGAAGGCTACTTCCAAATTAGTGCAGCCCAAAGGGACCTGATCCAACAGAGAACTTATTGACACACCGAAGTCTGCAAACAATTTCCATCAGAGAGAACATCCATAGGCTTTAAAACTTCTGCAGTGAAGCTGCAGTTCAGCAAAGTGTGAATCGTAACTGAGCCTCGAACAACAATTAATGAAGAAAGCTGAGGGAACTGCAGGCACAGGAGAATTTTCTGCCAGGCACAAAATCCTGAGTTGACGGCTGGAGAGTTAGTTTCCCCTGCATGCTGCTTTCTTAAAGACACAAAATGCTTTGCTATCAAAACATGCTTCTTTATAATCCACAATACAAGACCTATGTTTCGGCATTTACTAATTAATACATTAACCTCAGATAAATAAGGTCAGATAAGACTTTCCAAAGCATCACCAAACTTTGTCTAAAGAAGAGATAAAATAAAGCCCTGTAAAGTTTTTCCACAGTCTTCTGCGCCACTCAAACTCAGCCACTGCCTTATGGTTCAGAATGAAGCAATGCCACTTTTGGAAGGCCATGAGCATGAATTACAGCGTTACTGAGGTTGGAAGGGACCTCTGAAGATTGTCTGTGCCCAGCCCCTCTGCTCAATGCAAGGTCAACTAGAGCAGATTGCTCAGGGCTGTGTCCAGTGGGACTTCTTTCCCTTTAGAGTTTTCTTTTACTTCTCTTCTGAAGAATTCTTTCTGAATAAAAAAGTTCTGACCATTGACTGTGGAATGAGCACATTGGCATTACTCAACCCATCGCAAGTCCTCTCAAGAAATAAACACTTGAGGAACCAAGACCTCTCCCTGTGTTAGTGCTACCCTCTGGTGATGCCAACACGATCACGAAAATTGGAAGGACCAGCTGGAATAGAACTACCTGCACATAAGTCATGTCCTTTCAGCTCAACCCAACCCCTTCCACTCCCTTGGGGCTTGCCCGTTTTGGTCTGCCCAAGGTCTAAGGCTCTGTGATCTAGGGCATCAGAAGGCAGCCTACGCTGCGCGGTGTGTGCACTCAGAGAGGACGGGAGTGTCTGATCATTACTCCCATCTCCTCCTAGGCTGCAATGTTCACTAACTTTAGAAGAAGTCTAAGGATAATATTTCAACTTATTTTAAACACCTTCGTGACCACAGCAGAGACTCACTGGTAAGAGTGTGACAGTAGCTTACTTCTATTCAGCGTAAGTTATAAAACAATGTTATTTGAATTTATGTGAATAGAAAGATACCAACCTATCTCTTGTCCCAAATGAGATGATTTCAGAGACCCTGCTGAGGACACAACAGCACAGCGACCCAGGCGGCCCACTGTTTCATTGAGGCTTTTCCCTGGTAGGTATTGCTGCCATTCGGAGGTATCAAAAGGACCATCAGATCCCTGTATCATGGTCACGTTCACCCTGTCCCGTAGCTGGCAGAGCAGCTTCTCTGGGCTGAGTTTAGCAGTGTTCCTCTTTCCGTTGTAAGTCACATTGTACTTGTTCATGGACAGGTAGTTTTTTCTGACCTTCTGCAGCCTGGGTATAAGATTTCTGGATGAACTGTCCTTATCCCATACCTTCACAGAGTCTGCTGCTTTCTTGGACTTTTCTGCTGTTCCAGAGGTGCTGCCTTTTACTTTGTTGCGGTTACTAAGCCAAGTTTTGGGTATCTGACTCAATTCACTGGCTGCTTCACGGAAAAGGCCCTGTGATTTAAGTGGGTTCCATTTTTCCGAAGTCCTGTGAACCTGCAAAGCATGGCTCTCGGTCTTGAAAGGAACATAGTAGCTTCTTCTCGTCTCTCTCCACAGGCAAACCGTCAGAGCTACCAGTATCACCACAAGAACACACGTTAATTTTTTCAACACATTGACGTGAACCATAGTGTACGGTGCATCCAAATGGGACACTGAACACCGGGCAGGGAGCTGGTCCTGGGAGAGAGGAACACACCTCAGTCAGGGCTGCATGCACAGGCATGCGTATATATATAAATACCAGTCTGTGGGCAATGGGAGGGGAGAGGGAGAACAGAGGGGCAATTTTAAAATTTCAAGTCGTTTAAAGATCTCATTTCAAAGTCCACCACCTCAAACATCAAACAGATAGACTTGAGCTGGCCTTTAGCGATCGCATGCTATGTAATGGTGATCTGAGGCCACTGCCACTCAAACCATTCTTCTATTCCCTTCCACAAGTGACAGTCAAGTTTAACACAGCCAGTTTCATACCAGCAGCAGGGCAAGTCTCCACTTTGCTTTCTTTCACCTCCCATCTCAGCCAGCCAATATCCAAATCCCACCACTAGCATTTCCAGAACTGAGCTTCTACTTGACCATAGGCATGAACACTAATGAAGCACATAATGAGGCGTACAACTGTGGGGAAAAAAAAAGGTATGAGCTCGTGAACACCAGGAGCTTCACCAGCCTGGTACTGACACACTTGGTGGCTTCACAGGGAACTTCTGCAAGCCTGCAATGGGCTAAGTGCACGCCCAACATGAAACCTCACTAAACAGTGGCTGGGAGCCAATTAATCCACAGTAGGGTTTGAGGCATGTTTGGGTTCATAAATGCACTTTGATAAACATTACTCAAGGCATGCTACCCCCGGAGAAAGCAAAGCCAGACCCTGTTGTCCAGCACTGCCTGTCCTCTTTTGCGCTACCTCGTATTAGCAGACACCTCCAGCTCCCATCATGTTATAAGGGGGCAATTCAATACAAGGAGGGCCCAAAGGGCAGCTCAACCTAGGCAGCACAAGGGGCTGGTGTAGGAAACATATGCTGAGGCATAAACACCTCGTGAGTGGCACACGGGACCACAGAAGACAGGAGGCCAGCTGCTCATTTCCCTACGTGGCTGCTCTGGGATGCGACCACGAACGTGGGAGCAGTATAGAGACAGCACGTGTCCCAGTGCTCCTCAGGAGACAAAGACGTGCCGATCACTACCCATCCTAGCAACAACTCCCTCCTTGAGCAACTTGCTGAAAGCAAGCAGTGCTGAGCTGTGGTACTGAGAAGTTACTGAGCTACCGACACGCTACCTGTGGATAAAGCAGCAGCTCTCCAACTCAAGTCATTTTGGGCTGTTGGCAGATTTTCTTCCCAGGGTTTAAGCAGGATATCCCAAAACACAACAGTTCTGTGACACGCTGAAGAGTTCAAGAAACACCTGTAAAAACAGAGGAAAAAAAAAAAAACCTATTATGGAAGAAGCTCGTGGAGATGAGCAAGTATTTCCTCAGATAAGCCTGCGGTCCCACAAAAGCTGTTACCCCAGGCGTGGAAGGGCCAGCAGCAAACACATTAACATCACATAAGCCTTTTAAACGCTGAAATGCCCACTGAAAATGGGCATTAGTCTGAAATCTACTCTCAGCTAAAGCAGGAACTGGTTCGCAGGCTGCCTGCTCTATGCTCCCACCAGACCAACAGCCTTCTCCGCAGAGAAGGCTCTGAGCAGTGGATGCACCTGTAATACAGTGAAGGAAAAATCCCAATGCTAATGCTTAACACAACAAACAGGAAAGGAAAGAAAAAGCTAACTTTTCCTAGGGAAATATCTTACTGCCTATTCTTCGGCGATTCATGCACTCTTCCTCAAATGCAGAGGAGACTCCCCGCTTTTTTGGAGCGAGTTGTATGAAAAGTTGCTTTAAAACATATATCTTAATCCACAGATCTTCACAAAATAGACAAATATATTTTAGACTTTACAGCTTCACTCTACCAAGGAAATGCAGCAAGAGAAAGGGAGATTTCACAGTATTATACAATTCAAGAAGTAACTTGCTTCTGCAGGAACTCTGAGTCAGTACAATGCCACATAAGCTAAATCACAAATGCTACCCTTCACAGGATTAAATACTAAATTATTAAATCATCCTAATCCTGACTACTTATATTTTCTTTTAACTCTATTAAGAACTCAACTTGTTTTCTTACAGAGCAGCCCACAATTAAAAAGCAAAGATTGTTCTACCTCCAGTTCTTAAACAACAATAAAAAAAAAGATTCAAGAAGCACAAGTCATTCCAGCTTTTATTTAAATAACTTCCCCTGCCTTGACAGACCATCTCACTTTTCATTTGCTTGAGAAGCAAGCGCTAGAAAGGCACGCTGAAGTCTTTTTGGCCAGTATGGTTTCAGACGCAGAGGTACAGCAGTCTGGGGAAGGGGGGGGTGTCAGGAGGGGATGCAGGACATCGCTGCGCTCTCTTCTGCGAGGAGTTAACGCAAGGTTCCCCATGCTGTTTACAGTTCCTCTTCTGCTGTGGTCTCTGCAAGACACTCTCAGCCCTGCCTCTCCCCCGTCCCCTCCGCAGCTGGGGACCCTGGCGGGCCAGCCCGCTGGGTGCCTGCCTGGTGCCCGCCGGAACAGAAAGAGCCACCTGAAGGCAGGAGACTGCAAAAGCCATTTGCTAATGGGGAAAGCACCGCTGAATCAGCCTCCACGCTGTCAAGAGGCTCTGCGGGCAAACCACGCTTGGACAGCAACGTTTTCCAAATCAAGAGACAGAGAAACAGAGTTGTCCCGTGTCAGCTTAGGACAAAACTCTGCGACACCTCCCTCCGACCACGCTTCGTGCAGCCCCCAACCTGACTTTAGTCAGCTGTACTTCTTTACACAAGATGAGGGTCTGGCTTCCAGGAAACTCAACCAAGATCTTCTGCACAGGCAGGACAGAGCCTCCACGCCACGGGAGGTGCCCCGGCTGCCCCACCGCCCTGCAAAGCGGAGCTCTTCGCTCCGGGCCCTCGAGGGCTCTGCCAGGCTTTTGATTTCAGAAGCCTCTCCTGAGGGGTTTCCAGGTGTAGGTGATAGCAGGCGCATCTCAGTACCATCAGCTTTTGTTTCCCACGGCTAGGATACTCTAGAGGAGTGGCAGGTTCATCGTGGTGGAACAACCTTACAGCTCATTGCAAGTTCCTGCTGGGACGCTCCTCCTGATACCGCAAAGCAGAGGATGCCCAACAAGTCACAACACATCCTCTCCTGCCCGGGCCACACAAAGGAACCTGGAAAACTCACCTTCAGCACTCAGCACAATGTGATCCCCACCTTTGATGACTGTGCATGCTGCTGCAACCTGAACAGTTATTTTGTTTTGATCTGTAAGTTGGCAAGGTAGGTTCTGCAAGCAAGTACATTTTAGCAGAGCCACAACATTTCAAGGTACCTTTTGTTCACCATGGATTCACTGCAGTTCAGTTTAATTATTACTACTACTTCACATGATATGATTTTACTTCATTTGCACAAGTGGCGTCCTAACATGAGGTCCCTCTCAAGCGTTCTGCCACCAAACCTTTTCTGCGGAGCGGGAAGGCAACTGCTCTTCCAGGCAAGGTAGGACAGCCCACAGGCGGTGCTCTCTTTCCACACCCTTAGGGAAGTCACTTGTGCGCTTCTGTATCACAGCGGTTAGGGCAAATGTGCTCTTCTGGAGGTGACGGAAACTTATCACCTACACAAAGCACAAGTTGTCAGCTATGAGTAGCAAGAAAGAAAGGGCAAAAAAATCCCCCAAACCTATAAAAATATTTAAACAAATAGCTGCTGCCTTCTTGAAACCTAGAGCCCGATGCGGCTGTGGGGTGCAGCGCTGGCCGGCTGGCTGGCAGGCTGAGCCCACACAGCAAGTCCTCTGGGGGTAAATTAATCCTGTGCAGAGAACGAGTAAGTGATGCGGTATCTTCAAGGCAGTCAGGGAATTATATCCTGTCCACACGCTCTTATACTTAACCTTTATTATCCAAGCATCTCACTGGACTCAGGTCTTAATCATTAAAGCACAGAAGACTGAAAGTCCTGCCGCCTCTCACGTCCCAGACGCTGCTGTCCACCCGGGGAGCTGCAGCCAGCAGTGCCCTGGCAGAGACCACCAGGCAATCCCCATTTCCACAACCCACAGCAGATTTACCCTAAAACTGCTAACAAGAGTGTCTTCACCTCGTTAAACAAAAAGTCTTTCAGGCCCTTACCTGTCTCCTGTAGTGACTGACAGCAGATACACAGAGAAACCACATAAGTACAGACAAACGTAGGAATATATTTCTCTTCCAGTAAGGGCACACAGCTTCCAAAAAGCTGTGTCATCAGCTGTACCAATGCCCATCCTCTGCACATTTGTTTAATTGCTTCTCACTCACATTTCCCAAAACAGCCCGAGGCAATGAATTCTGCAACCCGCACCACGCAGAGACAACCCCTCCTCTCTCCGCTTCACACTGGCAAACCAGATCGCACCGACAGTAATCCTTCTGCCTTCATTTTCTGCACGTCGTTCATGGTTGCACCACCTCTCCTAACACCCTCCTTTCCCCACTTGTTGTTTTTCCAGGCTGAATCCTGCTTGTCCAATCCCTCCTTGCACAGCAGCTTTTCCATACCTCCGCTCCAACTCTCTTGGTCAACTTCCCCGGCACCGTTTGCAGCCCGTGAACATCCCTCGAGGCAGGCACACCGGGACACCCCAGCTGCACACGCTTAGGCCACGTGGTCCGGCAGCAACATAACAACAGGGCTGCTTTGTTCTCCTTCCAAAACTTCCTCCACTTCTATTTCCCTTCCTGACTGTTTCTAAGGGCTGAGCTCTAGGCTGTCGGCAATGACTTCAGGATATTTTGCAAGCAGCACTGACTCACTGACAGTTGTCCCCAGCACAGGGCAGAGGGCAGGAATAAAATACAACTAAAGAGCATTATCTTACCCCTGCTAGTACAGGCTTCCTTTGCCATTGCGCTGCCCAGCCACCCAGGATCGCCGGAGCCCTCCGCAGCTGCTCGGTGTTTTCTCTGGTCCCGGCAGCCCTCTGAAGACAAAGCCAAGCCCATAACCTAGCCCTTCCTACCCTCCTGTGCAGATCCGATATCGCTGCTCAACGGTGGAGATCTCGGAGCAAATCCCTGTGGGACTTCTGTGATGTTGTGAAACCTGACCGCGTGGTTTCCTACCCGCTAGGCAGTCACTAATCCAGGACAGGAACCTTCTCATCCCATGACAGCTAAGGGTTTGGTTTTTGTTTTCCTGAGGCTCTTGGTAAGCAATCTCACCAAAACCTTGAAAATTCAAGCATGCTGTTTCCCTCTCTCCAGGTTCACTAACTTCTGAAAATGAGAGAAGAGGAAACAGGCAGATAGATTTGAAACGTGACTCTTCTGCAGATGATGAGACTTCTCCATTAATTCTTATGTATTCTACAGGTGTTAGTTATTTTTATTGTGTTTACTGGTCTGAAGCAACGGATCCCACCAGAGTCCCTCTGAAATGCCATCATGTCAAATAACACCTTTATTTTAATTTAAATGACGATTTGAGAGATGCAACCCCTGGGGATGGGCACATGCAGGGATCACATCCATCTATTCAACTATGCCTCTCCTCGGTCCCTCCGTTCATACATCAGCAACACTCACCTGCAGCTTTCTTGCCTCTGATGTATGCACAAAAGCTTTTTACTTTAGCAAGTTGTTCCTCAGTCTTTTTTTGGGTAACATGATAACAATTTCATATTTAAACTTAGAGCATTTACATTTCTTTCCAGGTTTCCTTCATTTATGCATTTCCATCTGTACCCACAACTGTGCTGTGCCTAAATACAAATCAGTAAAGCTTTGTTCCCAGCTTTTACTGGTGTATTTTTGAATGATTTTATGCTCCCCCATATGAACATTTTATACTTCAACTACACCTCTTTATTCTTTTTTTGTACGTTCTCGGTACTAACCCTTTCCTCCCCCCAGCACCCTCTGTAAAGCGCCTGTGAAGAGAGCAGTGACTGGTAGCAGAGGCAGAATGAGTTCACATGAAAGCACGTGAAAAGAGGATACCTAAAGACGAAAGACATGGAGGTGTAGGGCAGGAATCCCTCCATTCAAAATAAAATAACATACCCAAGGAAACTGAAGAGGAGAAAAAAAATTGGGATTCGGGAAGTAACCTCGAATCCACATCTGCTCTTAAAATTCCCTATTCCTGTCCTGGGAAAAAAAATAATTATCTAGAGCCTTTATAGTATTAAACAAACTATGATCATGCCATTTTGCAAGTGAAGAAGCTATGCTATTCATATACTCGATA